GAGTTGAACATCTGATAGGATTTAACTAGCATCCTTAAGACCCAGTGTTATGTGTATTTATACTTTTGCTATATTCTATATATATATATATATATACACATGTATGTGTATTAAAGTATTACACATTCTTTCACTCCTGTATATTGACTGAGTCATTTCACTCTTTTGGCCCTTTCCTCCCTTAGCAGTCTTGACCAGTCTCTGACTCATTTTTGATATGATTTGGTCCAATTTGAAGTCTGAGAGCCAGGAGTGGGGTAGAGAATAGATGCTAAGAGGCACTTTTTTCTTGTTAGGCATAAGCCTCTGCAATGGCATCAAGCAAGAGAGTGGTTAGTAGATTTAAACAGGAAAAAATATTCTACTTGTAGACCCAGAGAAATCAGGGAAATCTGAAAATTCAGTATTTTAGGTGCATCTATCAGGACCCTGACCTTTGTGTGGCAGATTTGTCAGGATTGAGAATGCAGTCTTCCTCAGAGCTCTGTTATTCTTATAATGACATCCTGGGTCCAACCTTAAACATTTTTTGTCATCTGGCTGTAGTCTTTTTATATACTGCCAAGGAAGCTTTCATACTCTTCCTTACAGTGGCTATTAATCATCCCCAGGTTTCCATTGTCTTTCTTAATACATTAATGGTCCCCACTGACACCCATCCAAATTTCACAGTCTTCATAGTAATTACTTCTTCCAAATCTCTTAAGCATTTGAGATATGTCCCTGGCCAGTACATTCCCATCTTCCATTATACATCTCAATTCATTTCTCGGGAAAGGTTAACTGTTGCATAACTACAACATTCAAGTTGATCGTTTCTAACTGGATGTGGGTGATCATCTCCAAAAACCCCATTTTAAAGCCTCTTTTTTAGAACCACACCTCAAGAAACATACATTGAGGCCCTGAGATTTTCATGCAGGGGTTTTTTTGAAGCGTGCTCTCTGAACTGGTGCCTATAAGGAGTATGAGAGGCACTAACAGACAGAGGAAGAAGTTAAATTATAACAGTTATAACAGTGGCCTCAGCCTATCAGGAACCCTGGAGCTGGAATGGCCCTGCGTTGTCCTATTTAAAGCAAAAGGATCAGGATTTTGTATTTCCCACATTGATTAGCACTGAATATGGAAGGCTCCCAGTGAGCAGGTATAAACTAGGGTTAGACAGCTTCCTTCAGCAACTGCAATTCCTGCAGAGAGACCCAACGATAAGCCATAGAGACCAACACTTCTGGCATCTTAGGGCTTTGGTCCCAAGGGAAATCTGGATGATGCAACATAACATTATTTTTAAAAAAGATTTATTTACGCATACAAGAACTGGGGTACACTGTGGAGAATGCCCACTTCTCCATCTGCTCAAAATGATCTATTCCTTCCTAAGTATTTTCATTTTATCTCATCCTTTTAAATTTCCCCTCTGTGTGTGTTTTGTGATACTAAAATATATTAATCAAATGTTAAAAAAAGAACTGGGGTACAGGCCAGTGGTATGGGGGTGTGAGAGGATTTACCAGAGACAGAGTGGGAAACAGAACAGGCAGACTGACTGAAATACACTGCTGAGGGGAGCAGCAGGTGAGACAGGCGAGGTCTGCTGCACCAAGTGGGTTGACTCCATGGCTGGGGATGGAACTCGTGTTGTAGTAGCTGCGGATAGCTTCATAGTGCTGACACTTAACCCCTTGTGCCACCAGGGAGGCCCCACAACACAACATTATTAACAGGAGATTTATTACCCACTTGGGGCCATAGGGGAAACATTACCACAAGTGAGGATGGCAGAACAAAGGATGTAATGAACCTGAGTCCCTAATGCTATCCCTGAGTTGTCAAATGGTTCCTGAGATCTCCCCTATCTGAAGGGAATGGTAGCCTGTGTGTAGCTAAAGATCCACTATGTACCATGAGAGGTGTCCTCGAGAAGCTTGCTGTCCCTTGACTTGGTGAAGTGGATTGAGTGGTAAACCCCAAATCCTACATTTACATCCGAATTGCCAGAATCTTGTAAATGTGACCTTATGTGAAAAAAATTATTTGTAGACATCATTAAGTTACAGATCTTAAAGATGAAGAGATCACTTTGGGTTAACTGGGAGGGTCCTAAATTCAATGACAACTGCTCTTCTAAGAGTTACACATGGGAGACTAGCAGAAAAGAAGTGCTGAAGATTCCAGAAGCTGAAAGAACAAGAATAGACTCTCCTTTAGAGTCTGGGAAGCCTGCTAACCTCTTGATTTTGGACTTCTGGTTTGCAGAACAATTTGGGAATAAGGTTATGAATCACCAAGATTGTGTTAATTTGTTATAGCAGCTTCAAGAAACTAACACACTTCGGATCCTTCTCTTTCATTCTAAATACTCTTTATTTCCCTTTCTTGGGTAAAGGTGATCATGTATCTTCTAATTTGGTTGAATATATTCCTTAGGTGGTAAATTTTTATGGTATTATCAAGATAACCATTAAAGTCCCCATATAAAGGAGAGAGCTTAAAATACTTCCTCAGTAGATGCTGAGGCACCTGTAGAGACAGGAATGAGCACTTTCCTGGGAAGAAGGGTTAGAGCCATTATATTTTCAATAGGATGTCCTAAGGATCAAAAAACCTAGGAATTTCTGAGAAAGAGTATGGGCAAATAGGAGACTGAGAAGTAGCTGAGCTCTGAAAGAAATGAAAACAAAGATGATGAAAAACACAAAGCGATTATATTTCCAGTATTTGAAAGCAAGTAGAAGCTGGTGTGTCTGGTTAGGAGACTTAAAATCCATGTCTTTAGAAAGAAACTTTGGATTCTTCATAAATGCAGGTCAAGAAGCTGAAGTTACACAAAGGTTTTGCAAAGCAGATTACAAAAGACCAAGTTCGTTCAGCCCTGAGTCTGAAGGAAAGAAAATGTTTTTTTCTGAAAGGAGGGTTAGGAGGTTAGACAGAAGTTCAGATTTCTGTAGTTGAATCTTGCAGGTGATTGAAAAGGTACATTCTGTCTCAGTGACAAATAAGTAAAATGCTGTCTTAACAGAATTTTTTTCTATTATATTGGGGGGAAAATACAGGTTAGAGAATGAAATGAACTTAAGTCTGACCCTGAAAAGAAAAAGGAACAAGACACATTTTCTGAGTCTGTCTCAATGAAAAGTTATGAGATGAGATTTAGATGATTTGGAACAAGTCTTAGCCAGAATCTTGGCTGTCAAAACATCAAGCCCCATTGAGGACAAGCAAACAACCACCCAGGCAGTAAATGTGCTGGGATCCCCTACACTATTTCCCCATGAAAGTATTGGGTTGCTGGAAAAAATCATGGTGTACTTTTTCTATGTTTTTCAAGCAAAAATGCGTCATGACTTTTCTGACAACCCAATACTTGAGGTGGAGTAGAAGTAAGAATGGAGACAGGGCAGGGAAGAGTGTTGTGAGAACAGCTTTGTTTCCCAAAAAATTGGAGTAGGGTCCATGGAGCCTTCCATAACAAAATTACCAAGTGTTTTAAAACAAATTGCCTCACAGGTATTTACAGTTAGGGCAGAAAGAAGCAGGTAGAACTCAGAGCCTGGTTGTCAGCTTTACTATCCAAACTGCAAGAAGACATCCTCCATAAGACAGAACCCTAGTCCTTGAAATATCATATTCTACAGGTTTTCTTGCCACAAATCTGGGATATATCATCCAATAGTTCATTTGCAACCCTTTACAATAAACATTTTATAAGCCTGGAGAAGCAAAAATACATATAAGTATAAAACATGCCACAATTTCTAAGAATTCTGCTCTAACAGTTTTCTTTTTTACAGCAAACAATGTTTCTAAAATTTACATGACCAAGGAAATATGAAGGAAGAAGTGTTTCACTTAGTTATTCTTTTTTTAGGAAAAATAATGTTAGGCTCTAAATTCCTTTTTGAAAACAGAATTGTCAAATAAGTAAAGGAATAAAATGTACTAGCCATGTGACCATGTAAATAACATGATGAAGGAACCTGTTTTATAACATGAGTATTCAATATGGCACATAGTGATTTTATATTTATTTCATGTCCTTTTCAAGCAGGTACTAGCTTGTGAATGGCCTCCAGCATTTTCTAGGGTTTGCTGCTCTCAGACATCCCAATTCTCATCTCATCCACACAGCCCAGTAATAACTTTCTACCTGGGTATAATAACAAGTGAAAAATATGCAGGCTATTTCATTTAATAAACATATATAGGAATTTCTAAGTACCAGGCATTAATACTACCTAACATTTGAGAAAGATTAACCTATTTAATCTTCAAAACTTATGAGGTGGGATGCATTTCACCTCCATTTTACAGAAGATGAAACTTGTCATCTTCTGTAAACCCTAGGGGCAGCTAGGATTTAAATGAATCTGTGCAATTAAAGATACACCAAACTTCTTTAAATAGTACTATTTAAGGTGAATGAAGAAGAGCTATCAAATAATTCCAAGTGCTCTTATATAAGCATCTTTTAATGGGAGACTTAAATTTTTTTAGATAAATGGAGATTTTAAAAGTGGAGGAAGGTGGGCCTCCCCGGTGGCACAGTGGTTGAGCACTGGGCTGTGAAGCTGCCCGCAACTTCTGCAGCACCAGTTCGATCCCCGGCCTCTGGGGAGGGTCCCACATGGCGCGCAGACCTCTCCGCCGCACCTGCTGCTCCCCTCAGTAGTGTACTTCTTCAGTCTGCCTGTTCTGCTCCCTACTCTGGCTCTGGTGAATTCTCTCACCCTCCCGCGCTTCTGACTGTACCCAGTACTTGTATAAATAAATAAATAAATCTTTAAAAAAAAAGTGGAGGAAGGTCATCTAGAATGTTCAGGTGAACAGGTCTTCACCATGGGTTCCTAAAATTTATAGTTTATGAAGCTTTATGGCATATACATTTGTAGCGCTAGTTGATACGAAGGCAATCATCACTCAAATCTAGATGCATTTTAAAATCATCTATTATATTTATTTTTCTGATTATAAAAGTAATAAATGTTCAATTTGGAGGATTCAGAAAATCACATGGCAAAAAAATAAAACTCACTCATAATCCCACCACCCAGAAATCATCATTGCTGATATTTTCATATATAGCCTCTAGTCTTTTTTCTATATGTATATTCATCCATCTATGTATTAACCTGGCATTTATTAAATGTGACTCTTTGTACCAAGTGATGCATTATTCAAATTAAAATAATTTGCATGTTTTTCCAGTGCCCCAATGTGCACTGAATATTCTCTAAATGTTGTAAAAATTACAAAGCCAATACATTAAGAAATAGACTCCCAATGATACATATGCTAGAGCATCCTTAAAAATCCAAATATTCAACCTAATGATATTTTTCAAAATATGATTTTATCATTACATTTTCTGTATTTCAGAAGCAAAGTTTCAGAAGCAAAGTTTCAGAAGCAAAGTTCTAACATCAGTTTGAAAACAATACTTGCTTCTGAAACTTGTGATTAGACACCTCCATTAATTCATGATTATTTTCTTTGTTGATTCTAAAGCTTCTATAAGATAGGTAGGCACAAGATTATTAAGAAGAAATGTTGATTATGATTGTTCAAATATTGCTTAGCATTTGGGAAGTAAACTATCCACAAAGCATGTTATAATTACTGCTGAGTAGAAGAGAGGAATTCTTTCATCTAGGAGGGAAATGAGCACTCTAAATCAACATACTCGGCTGATAATCTGCATGCTACATTTCCAGCCTCACAAGTAGCTTCGGGAATTCTTCAGCCCAAAGGGAACTCCTACTGGTGATGGCGATGTCACAGCCTTGAAGTCAGCTTCCTCTTAACTGTACCAGTAATCCTGCCAAACGGATTGTCTAATGGCAGCAAGACCTGCAGAAAAACCACATGGCAACTTCAGAGGCATTAAAATAGGTCTCCCCTATTGTAAATAGTGCTGCAATAAACATAGGGGTGCAGGTGTCCTTTTGGATTAATGTCTTTGTGTCCTTTGGGTAGATACCTAGAGTGGAATTGCTGGATCATATGGAAGCTCCATTTTTAGTAGGTTGAGGAACCTCCACACAGCTTTCCATAGTGGTTGCACCAGTTTGCACTCCCACCAGTAGTGCAAAGAGTTCGTTTTTCTCCACATCCTCTCCAACACTATTTACAATAGGTAAGCTATGGAAACAACCCAAATGCACAAAAATAGATGACTGGATCAAGAAGATGTGCAATGAAAAAGATAAACTTATGCAATTTTCAGCAACATGGATGGAAGTGGAAGGGATCATGTTCAGTGAAATAAGCCAGAAAGAAAAAGAAAAATATTGGATGGTCTTATTTATAGGAGGAATGTAGAGGATCCAAATAAGGGATCAGGAAAAACAAAGTAAATATAATAAAGTAAATATAATTTTTAAAAAAGTAACTATAATGAAGTAAAAATCAAAATCAACAGACGATTATAAACCAGAGACATTCTGCAGGGGGGGAGAAGGGAGTAGGATCATAACAAGGGTGGGAAGAGCACAAGGGACAATGGTGATAGATCATGGGTGAATGGGTGGTGGGAATTTCATGGGGACTATAACTGAGGTGAAAATTCATATATTGCACAAAAATGAAAAATGATGTAAAAAATATATGAAATAAATAAAGTAGGTCTCTCCTTTTTTTTTCTGTGAATCAATATTAAATCAACAAACACAACTAAACATGAAAATGCATGTTTCCTGCTAACATACTTAAAGTATGGTAATACATTTTTTTCTGGTAATAGTTGAGAAATGACTTGATTTTCCAGATAATTTGTTTATGAAATTTTTGATCATTGAGATACAAATGTTTCTCAAGTTTATTACATATCCCTGCTTTTTAAATTATATGTAGTGATGATAATTTGACCTTTTTTTTGATGACTCACTTTGAACATCAATCACTGTCCAAGGCTATAATAGCGCTGTGCCCTCAGGAGCAGCTGAGGCCCTCAGGACTGCTAGTCTGATGCTAAATGGCTGCAGATACTTAGAATCCTCCTGTCTTCCTGCCCTGTCATTTATCACTTCCCTTCTCTTGTCAGTTTGTCCTGACTCCGTGCTTCTCATGTGTTGCCTTTACTTTGTACTCCATGCTTTAGGAGGGCCTGAGAGTGGCTCCAAAGCATCCCCAAAGTGCAGACACAGACACAGGACAGCTTGTTCAGTCTCCCTGGTGCCTTTTTGCAGAGCCTGACCCAAAGGAACCCAGGCCTCCTGCCTCTGGGTCCCTGGCTGGGCTGTAGGAGGGAGCTGACTTACAGAAAGGCCGCAGCCCATCAGCCAGCCTTAGAACTGGGTTCAGTGCAGGCCCAAAATGTCAGGAGGGCCTCAGAAGCATCCCTGAGCACCCCCTCTCTCTGGAGGAGTCCTCATCTAAGTACTGCTCTAGTCATGACAGTTGACCCTTTTCCTGTTTGGGGTGCATTTGTTTCACCAGTGATGGCCATGACCAGTATTACTTTCATTTCATTACTACATTTCCAGCATCACAAGTGACTTAAGGAATTCTTCAGCCAAGAGGGAACTCCTACTGGTGATGGGGCTGTCACAGTCTCAAAGCCAGCTTTCTCTTAACTTTGCCAGTAATCTTTTAGAAACTAATCTTTTAAAAAAGGCTTGACATTCTCATTAATGGCATTATGATCAATATCCTTTCCTTCCTCTGAAGTTAACAGTCCTTTTTCAATTGCCCTTTGCCCACTCTGATGGAGGCATGATAACCACTTAATAATATCAAATGGATGGATGGATGGATGGATGAATGGATGAAATTTCTCTGTATCTTTCATCCTCTGCACCCCCTGAAACATAGACCCTTGATCTAATTGCCCCTCCTCCAGTTTCCTGAATATGAGGCTTAAAGTGTAGCAGGTTCAAGAGACTCAGAATTTGCAACAAAACTAAAGAACTATAGCCATGGCCTGTGTTTTCAGGATGGACAGATTTTTCCTTTTTTTTTTTTTTTTTTCTCTCTTCTCACAGCATGTAAATCAAGCTTGTTCTCTTTTGCAACTTAGCATTCTATTTCAGCCAGACCAGGCATCAAAGCACAACCTTTAAATTCCAGCTCCTCTCTGCAGCCTCCACCTACCTCTGTGGTGACACTGAGTATGATGGAGCCACAAGCAGGACAGAAACAAGGGGACTGGCCAGAGGGATGTGACCACTAAGGCTGCTGTGACTGCTGGGCCACAGACCCAGAATGCAGGACATTCTGGACACTGGCCTTTGTTCACCAAAGGCTATGATTTAAGGGTAGCAGAGCCATTTCAATTAATGGTATGTCCCTATTTCACTCCCTCTACACACACTAAAAGAAGCTGCCAAAATTATAGAAGCCTGTACGGGAATGGATCAAATAGAAAAATCTTGCCATTCTGCAAGAGGTTTCGGGGGGAGGGACATTCTGATTTCTCAGGATGGTCACTACAGGTTTTCTCTCGGGAGATCAGTCAAACTAGTCAGTTACGCTGGCTCAGCCCCTCTCAGGGCTGAGAATACGACAGGGTGAACACATTTTCCAATTAGGTTTTTCTTTCAAAAAACTGAACTTCCTCATCTGCTTTTTTAAGCTACAATTAGAAACACAAATACTTTTTCATCTTTTCTGTGCCTGTTGTGTGCATTAACTACTTGATTGAAAGTTAAAGGTGATGGACAAAATGAAAATAGAGCTGCTCTCCTCTCCCCGTCACCTCACGATGGGAGAATAATGTGACCTTGTGTGGCATTTTTCCGAGAAGTAGATCTCAGAGCTGTTTCCTCGGGCACAGTCTGTTCTTTCTTTGTCTTCCATTTGGCTGCGGCTTCTAACCCTCCTCTGTAATCATTCATTCACTTCTAGAGTACTCCACCTTCAGGTATTAAAAGGCCTGGAGTCTAAGAGGGCTCTAATCAGAGGCAACTATAAATTTTCCAGAAGCAATGGCTGTTAAGTCCCAAGTTTATTAAGAGGGGTAAGGGAGGAGCAAGAGGAAGGAAGCTGTGCTTTAAATATTTTTTAAATATCTTACCTCTTCCTTGTTGATCAGTCCCATTTTGGACATGTCTATGTTAAAGTAGTGAATATTCGGCAGGCTGATTTCCATATCTTCTATCTGGAATCCACAATATGTGTAAGATGGGTGACTGTGAGTCTAACTCGCTGCTGTCACTCCCCACCTCCCCCACTGCCTATCACTCAGGCACCACCTCTGTCCCTGAGATAGCCTCTTGCGTTCCTCTATTGCTGCCACTGTTCTCTTCTGCCAGTCCACCCTTCTCCCCTCTATATACAAAACCAGCTTCTCAGAAACCTAGAGACTTCTTCAGCGCTCAACCTGTCTCCTGGTTGCGGCCACTCAAACTCCTAAAGTCCTCTTCGTTGCATTCCCTCCTTACCAGGCCTATCCCTACCATTGCAGGCCCTGGGGTAAGAGTATATAATTAGAGGCCCACATACCAGATGTCTAAAGATGTAAAAGTTACAAATCAAGCTAAGATCTTAAGTGAAGTATGTTCTATCCTTCTAACTTGACAAATATACCTTCATAACAACCTGGAAAGTCAGCTACTAATTTAAAATTTCCTGACTCCTTGGAGTGCCACGGAGGACATGGTGGTGTGTGAAGTGCCAGTGCCCAGCTCCTGGCTCAGGCCAATTTCTCTCTCACAACTCCCTAAATCCTCTGCCCCTTAGCCCACTCTGATGGAGACCTGATAATCATTCAATAATATCAAATGGATGGATGGATAGATGAATAGGTGAATGGATGAAATCTCTCTCTAGCTTTCATCTGCTGCACCCCCTGAAATATAGATCCTTGGTCTAATTGCCCCTCCTCCAGATTCCTGAATATAAGGCTTCAAGTGTAGCAGCTTCAAGAGATTCAAAGAATTTTCAACAAAACTAAAGAACTACAGCAATGGTCTGTGTTTTCAGGTTGGACAGATTTTTCCATTTTTTGCTCTCTTCTCACTTGCTATATCAAGCTTTTGAACAACAACAGATGTCAGATTTCTTGTGTCTTCCACTTTCTTATTTTAATTCTCAACTCTTTCTCAGACCTGATGGGAGACACAACGAGTTCTCTCAGTTCTCAGAAAGGCAAATGACAAAGCATACCTCAGGAACGTGGCTCAGGCAGAGCACCTGGATGTCATAGAGGGTCTTCTGGACAGAGGGTGAGTACTCGCCTTTGTCATAGGGGCCAGCAAATTTTGCAAGGACAATTTCCCGAACAGTGTCCCTAAAACACATAAAAGAAAGAGAACAGAGGACTCTCACACAACGATCTTTCAGAAATTATTCACTGTAAACTAAGAAGCTGTAACCTTTTCCCCTGAGAAAACAATTTTATTGCTGATTAATATCATGTAATTCAAGATACAGGTAATATCATGTAATATCATGAATTCAAGAGATTAATATCATGTAATGCAAAAAAAATCACATTCCACATTCCCTTACCCATGTGCGAGCATGCTCTCTCTCTCTCCTCTCTCCTTCCCTTCCTCCCTTCTCTCTATTTTTCTTTCTCTCTCTCCCTCCCCCCCCCCACCCACTACCACAATTCCACAGGGTACTGAGCATCAGTAGGTGATCTTCATAACATGGCACCAGTGTCTAGTATATCTCTCTTTATGTTTGAAGAACCAATGAAGTGAACTCTTAAGAATTCTAACCCCCTTGGGGATGGGCTTGACTAGTTCCTGGAATTGGTACATATTTAGGGCTTTTCTTACATACTAAACTCTATGCTAAGTATTTTATGAGACTACTTCATCAAATTCTCTCACTGTGCCGGAGGCAGGTGCTACTATTATCCCCAACTTATAGATAAGGAATCTGAACTTCAAAGTTAAGGGATCTGCATTGGCTTCAGCAGCTCATATACTAAACGTCAAGTATCCACACTAACTCCCTCTCTTCAGTGGGAGGTCCTAATAGTACCGCGAGGCTCTTTTCTACTCATGTGGAATGCTTATAAACTAAAAAGGAAAAAAGATCAAGGTAAGATTTTCTTAGAGCGTTTTCACCCTTATCAAAAAATTAAAGGAGCAGAACAAAACTATACCAGTGGAGGGAGTTGGGGGGGTGGAGAGCAGATTCCAGTTCTTCGCAGGGTACAAGCTGCTAACAAAGAGAATTTCAGCTAAGGAATGAGATGACGAGATACCTGATCAAAATGCCAACTCTGTGATTTTAGAGGCCTAATTACAGTTTGTCAAGGATACTGTACCATACCCTTGCAATAACCAGTAGCCATAGCCTTAACACAATTGAGGTATTTATCATGTATTCATTGCTTCTGTGAATATGACCATCTCATTTTGAGTTTAGCCAAGGTTGACCAATTGCCCCACTTTGTCTGGGATCAAGCAGTTTCCTGGAACATGGGAATTTCAGTGTTAAATTTAGAAAGTTCTTGGCAAACTGAGATAAGTTAGTTATCCTAGTTTAGCCCTCTCAGCATCCACTACAAGGTAGTAAGGCCAAACATCATTATCCTCACTTGAGACCATGCTTCTTAAAGTATGGCCCCTGGTCCAACAGCTTTGGTGTCACCTGGGAGTTTGTTAAACAAATGCAAGTTCTCAGACCTACAGAATCAGAATCGCTCAGGCTAGGCCCAGAGATTTGCACTTTAACAAGCTCTCCAGGTGATTCTGATATGTAGTAATGTTTGAGAACTACTGATTTAAGTATTTTAAAAACAGAAATTAGCTGTTCCAAGGTTTTGTAGCTAACAGCATCTAAGATTCAAGTGAAGATTTACTAATTCAAAGACCAGTGTCTTTGGTATTCCAAATCCAAAAAAAAAAAGAAAAAGAAAAGGGGGATTTTGAGCAATGGGGATGTTGAATGGTGTGGGCCAAGTAAAAAATTGTCAGGCTTTTCCACCCTCCCACTATTAACATTAATGAATGATCCTTGCATTCCTACATGCATGCCTGATGGTGGACACCTGGAGTAGGCTGTGGGCAAGCATAGGTGGACACACCTGGGCTGGGAGACTGGGCTTATAAGGGCAGCATCACGGGGACACCAAAGAAATCAACAGAAGAGATAACAAGAAAGAGAAGAACTAGCAGAGCAGCAAAGTAGAAGCAGAGACCACAAGAGAAGGTAAGAGAGCCCAGAAAGAGTGAAGATTCGCCAGGGGGTGGGAGGCCTGCCAGCCTCCCGGCCCCCTGGCCCCCCAGCCTTGTAAAAACTCAATTAAAGCCTGAAAAAGCCACCACCAAGGGCTCCAGGATTCTCCTTTACCCATCTGCTCGGATCATAGAGATTCTGCTCTGTGCCTTCCTGCCACTACAAATGGCCTCTAAATTTCCCTGTCAGATCAAAGACTCCATGCATTCCCGGGCTTGGGAAGAGGGCAGACACCATCTCACCACCTGCGCCAGCACCAGACCCCAGCACACCCTCATACCAGGTGGTCTCAAAGTCCACGTCTCTGCTCCGCTGGTAGCGCCACTTGCAGTACACTTGGGTGGCAAAGCAGCGGTCCTTCACCTCAGGGAGGGTGGTGAACTGGTCCTTGATAAATCCTTCAAATCCAGACTGGGTTGTTTTCAGGACCTTGAGGTCTTTGATTCCAGAATGAATGACAGGAGTTCCTATTTAAGTAAAAATGTAAGAGGGGATGAGGTCATAAGCAAAACAATTCCTTTTTACTGCTACCTGGTCCTGAGGATCCAGGGCATTAGAACATGACATGTTATATTTGTACAAAAACTGCATCCTGGCCCATGTTTTCTGTCTCCCTGTCTCTTCTGAAGTTGAAGTGATGAGGATGGGTTGCTGTTTCTGTAACAGGGTGGTCCCCAGGAAAAGGGGAGGTTCCAGGTTCCCTGCCCCACCAAAGTGGGTGGAGCTGAGCAAGGAGATGAGGTAGCTGGGGAGGAGACTGAAGAAGGAAGGAAGCAGGATGGAGAGCCAGAAGGAGACCTGGAGGAGGCGCATGGGCTTGCTTCTTGGTCCTGGACTGGGTGAAACAGACGTGGGTGAGAGACCCATGGGGAGGTTGACAATGGCAATTTTTCTCTTGATTTTGATTTTGCTCTTTTCCTCCCAGACTTGTCTGGCTGTTTCTGACCCTTTTCCATGGTTCCCTGCCAGAAGATACTTTAGACTGGTGGCTGGCTTTCGGGCTTTGCTTTGGGTCAATCCTGTTTGGCCAGACATTTACCCATGAGGGGATGGGTAACATTGGGTGTTTGATTTGCAAACTATATTTTGTCTTTTCTGTATTACACACTAATTGTATTAAAGTTCCTTTCCATTAAAAGTCTATATGTTTTGTCTTGATGTGGCAGATGGTAGAACCTATTTAGAGCAGGCAGGTTTGGGGGTTCTGGGGTGCCCCTCTCCCTGCCCTGTAACATTTCCTCTGTCTATACACCTCGACTCCTTGCCCTCTCCTCCCCTAGGATAACTGAAAATCAGAGAATTTGCCTCCATGTTGTATTGAAGTCCAAGGAAATGAATGTCCTCCTCTCAGCTACATGCAGGTGTGTACCAAGCCAATTTACCTTCTGCACTTTGAACTCCAGCTCACTCAACAAACAATCCTACTGAAATGAGTTAACAAGTTCCTCCTGAGAGCTGTGTGGAGATTTCTGGACCTACTAAACATAGAGCTTCCATATGATCCAGCAATTCCACTCCTAGGTATTTACCCAAAGGACACAGAAACATCAATTCCAAAGAGCACCTGCACCCCTATGTTTATATCAGCATTATTTACAATAGCTAAGCTTTGGAAACAACCCAAATGCCCAAAAATAGATGACTGGATCAAGAAGATGTGGTACATATATACCATGGAATATTACTCAGCATTCAAAAAAGACAAACACATGCAATTTGCAGCAACATGGATGGCGCTGGAAGGGATCATGCTCAGCGAAATAAGCCAGAAAGAAAAAGAAAATTACTGGATGGTCTCACTCATAGCAGGAATCTAGAAAACTTAAATAAGGGACCAGGAAAATGAATAACTATAAGAAAGTGAAAATCAAACAACTCTGAACAGAGACACTCTATGGATGGTGGGGGGGGGAGGGAAAGGATGGGGGTCAAAATAAGGGGATTGCAATTGTATGGGAAATATAAAAATAAAATGTATTTAAAAAAAAAAAGTTCCTCCTGAACAGTTCCTCTGTCTGCCACTGTGATTCCCTTTTTTCTTTGGGGTGGGGGAGATAGAGCGGGATGGAGAGTAGTCCTCAAGTGATTGTCTACACTGACTGATGGCTCCTACCACAACCAGACTCGGGTGGGCTCTCAGTTATCTTGTGGTTATGAGCTCGGTGAACCAATACAACTTCATGAACGGGAAATAGGGTGGGTCTGGCTGAACCTACCAGAATAGGAAGATGAGATTATCACCCACAAGGTATAGATCTGCCTAAGTAGATAGCTGCAAAGGCTTTTGGAAATGACTGAATGGAAAAGGACAAGTTGGTTCATGTGAACCTGGGGGCAGGGGGCAGAACTGAAAACAATGAAGGAGGTGGTAGGTATCGCCTACAGCCCTTCAGATCACCTCATGAGATGAATGGGAGAAGTAATGGGGTAATAAACAGTTCCCTTTCTGAAGAATCTGTTGACTGTGTTGAACATTTCCAGCAGCAGGCCCAAGTGACAGGTGGGGTACAGAGTTAGGAAAGGAAGATTCTCTTTTTTCCATGTGGGACATAGTGTAGTTCCAGAGTTCAGTGAAGCCTGAAGAGAACATGATGCCAGTTGACTCACTGGGAAGCCCCAGGGGATGATGCTCTGTGGAGAGCAATATTCTTCCCAAAGAGCACAGGCAACTGGTTCAGCAGAAGCTGAGTAGAGCCGGGGTTGCAGCTATAGCCGGCGGGTGCAAACTTCTCCCTGAGCACGTGTGAGACCGTTCTTCAGGCCATCAGAAGGAAAGAGTTTGGCCAGAAAGGTCCAGCAGTTTTTTAATGATAGAGCTACAAGACCAGGAAATTTCAGGAATTAACATCACCATGGCAACATCACGATGGTCTTATAGATATGCACAGGCTGGTGAGGCTAGGACATTCAGGGACAATTGGGTACAAAACCTCCAAAGTACAGTGTTATAGCAGAATGACTAAAGTCACCTCTTTTTAGTTTCATAGTGAGTTTAGTGAGTTTCATAGTGAGTTTCATAGTGAGTCTAGACTAATTCCTACATTTCCTGACTTATTTAATCTTCAGTCAGGGGCTGTAGATGTCAGGCATCACTATAATGTGCATGGTCTTAGTTTAAGGACAAAAATGAAACTCATGATCCTTAATTAAAATCCAGAGAAGAGGGCCTCCCCCAGTGGCGCAGCGGTTGAGCTCTGGGCTGCGAAGCTGCCTGCAGCCTCTGCAGTGCCGGTTCAATCCCCGGCCACAGGCGAGGGTCCCACATGGTGCGACACAGACCTCTCCTGCTGTGCCCACTGCTCCCCTCAGCAGTGTGTTTCATTAGTCTGCCTGTTCTGTTCCCTGCTCTGGTTCTGGTGAATTCTCCCACCCTCCCGCGCTTCTGACTGTACCCAGTGCTTGTATAAATAAATAAATAAATCTTTTAAAAAAAATCCAGAGGAGATCTTAATAATCCAATGGTTTCTAGCACCTGGGTGGTTTCAATGTGGTTGTGGTTAACTCAGTGGCTGTGGAGTTTCAGAAACAGGTACATAATGCGATAGTTTGATGATTTCCCAGTCACATATGTTCACATAGCAGAGAGAAATGACCAGTAACTAGTGCTAGATCTTCTTACTAAATTGGTACTAATTAAATAAGGGATTCTGGCCAGATGTTCCAGGATAAAATAGTAAGATATAAAACAATCTTTGTCTCACATTCTGAAGTTCTCTCTGGAAGTTAAATCTGAAGAAGATTCAAGAGAAAGATACCAGCAATGACTTAAGCTGGCTGGTTTTATCAAATTATAAATGTATGCAGACATAGTTCTCCAAGATCAGCATTTCTAAATGCAGTATAGAGCTGATCCAAGTGCGTCTAAATTTCAAATGCAAAAGCACTGCGGAAGCATCAACAAGTATCTGCTGGTTGAATGAACAAGTGAGTGCAACAGGACTGATTCACTTCATGAAATAAGTATCTCACAACTTAGTCTATTTCCCTTCCAAACAAGTCTTCACCAATCTTTTCTGCTTCCCTTCTTGATGATTGCACCCCTCCAGCCACTCAATTCTCAAAGCCCCTCCCCTGGGATAGGAGGGGGTCAGGGGTCCACTTTAACTAAGAAGATTTGACTGTTAGCATGCAATTGGTTACTGCTTTTTTCAGTCTTTATCTTACTTCATCCTCACAACTCCATTATGTTAATTTTCTTTATACAGGTGACTTAATTATGTGTCCATCATTGCATAGAAAAACTGGCAGAGGTGGAGTTTAAACACAGCACCCATTATGAGATTCCAAGCTTTACCACCTCCTTTTTGGATCACTCCCCCTCCACACAATGTTTTCTCCTTCCTTTGACTCCTTTCCAGGAGTCAAGAAGGTTGCCACCTCCCCTTCCAGTGTGCTGTGGGGGCCTCAGACACCTCCAACCTGAAAGTACCATCTCCATGGATCTGAAATGGAAATTGAAGCATTATTTTTAGAAATGGCTCCTACTTTCCTTGAAAACTTTTTATTCCTTAAAAATTCACTATTGAAATAGAAAGACTCACGAAAGGTGTGACTCCTTAAGTCTTTAGAAATTAAAATTATAATTTACTCCTGGAGGGAAAAAAAAAAACCCTGTAGAAATGAAGCATAGGCTTGCAATCAGGAGTCAGGCTAGAAGTAGTGACAACCCTTGAAAGGGGATAAGAAGAAGTGATGGAAAACCAAAGGCAATCTTTCCCCAGTTCATCTTTTCCTAGACAGCTGACCTTGATCACTAGCATTCCGGTAAGTCAATGAGACTTCTGTTTCTCCAATGGTCTTAATTTCGCAAGGATTCCGGGATGCAGTGTTGCACAGTGGTTTGTCCATAGCCTTGGGACTGATTCAAACCCAGTGCCCTCCATGCCTCTCTCCTCTTTACAAGCACTTTTCCCTTCAAAAAATTACTTAACCCCTCTCTACCTTGATTTTCTTATCTGTTAAATGGAGGTGATCCTCATGCCTAGTGAGTGATAGATGTCTGAGAAAATACACAGAAAGAACTTAGTAGAATGCTCCATCTAAGGCTTTTATGATGATTTTGCCATAATCGACTTTTTCTTACCAATTTCAACCACCTCTAAATATTCCCCATGTCTCCCAAAGGCTCACTGAATTCTGAAAAGTACTTCAGATGTACCATCCCTTTCCATCCCCAATGCTAAGACGAGATATATTTATTTTAGGGTCGTGTCAGTCTTACTAGGCAACTTTGAAAAGATCTACTTTCTTGCTGGAATCTGAAACTGGAGAAAGCAGTTGTGTTTTCTAATGTGTTTTAACCTCAATTTCACACAGAATAAGATGTCTCACATTCCCAAAGACAATTAACTATTGCCACCGTTCTAGCAGAACACAAACCATCTACTCTGGTGCACTCATTGTTCTATGAAAAACAACAACAGATAACTCTCCCTGTGAATGTGAAAAAATACTTCCTTGGCACACA